CCGTTCCAGTTGAGAAGACTAAAAAAGAGCCAGTCTGTAGTCTGCTGACCCGAGACGGCACCACAAGTCCGGATCCGCGTCTTGTCAATAGGTCCATGGTTATGGCTGGGTTCGGTGTGCACTCAAATGGTTTGCGTTTTTGTGCGGATTTTGGGAACTTCCACCCATCTGAGCGTCATTTTTCCTTGTTTCAGAGTTGTTTCAACGCTTCACGCGACAAGTGTCAGCATACTATGTGTCTTCTCTTTGCTTAAGGAACGAGAACTTTGGACAGATCCATTTTTGTAAGTTAGGCGTATCTTCAACATGGATTTCATTTGGTTTTTAAATAAGTTTATATTTTTAATATTATTTATGTCTTCTTTTGTTATACGTAACATTTTTCTGCTTTTATAATGACTGCTCCTGATGGCTGTTCTTCCTTTTTGTCGCTAGACCCAATTCTTTGCTTTATAATTTCTATTTGTAACTTTGGTCGGGTAATATGTGATTCTTGTCAAATATGTGATCAATTCTTGTCCTTAATTTTATGCTTTGCTACAGCAAAGCTAAATTGTCAACACCGGCTTCTTGTTAACTTTATTATTGTCGTTTAGCCAAAGTCTTGTGAGTCAAGTTTCGCAATAACCGTCGATATTTCATTCTAGAATATTGGGGGGCTTTTGGCCTAAATTCGTCCTACCTGTTCCCCAGCGATCTAGCAGGTTTAATTTCACAATTGAATAAACAATGTATAGAATAAGATCATTGCATTAGAGTTGGAAATCTCGCTTTTCCTCCGCTGCGCATCATCTTAATCCGTGTTTGTGAGCTTGCGTTCACGGATATTTCTGCCGCATTCTTGTGACGTCCTCTCCATTTTAAATTCGTGCATGACCTTGTTATGTTTAATGTTTTAAGTTTACTTCATCTGTTATCTACGATCTAGATGAATTTTTGTCCCAGATGATGCGCGCCGCCCATCACATTCAAGCCGTTATTTTGCTTTTTTGATCATTTCTTCGCACCCTTTTACGCACAACCATTACATATTCCCAAATAATAGCCGTAGGTTGGGCTCATTCGTTTGTCAATGCGAAAAAATTAAATTAACACTTATAGCACACTTCGTTAAAGGACCCACGTGTGTCGCTGCTTGTCGTTCTGCGTACACAAAGTTGGCCTCGTCTGTCTGCCAGCGCCGAGCTTCAAATGCCCACCCGAAATGGTTTTTGATGTGTGGCTGTGTCCTACACTGAGTCGATTTATGTACACTTAGGAACAACACTTCCTTCCAGGTCGTTGATATCCTCTATTGAAGGATGAGACAACTACGAGTGATGCTTTGGGGTACCTTTCACGCATCTTCGTTGTGCATCACGGAGCTAATCCATAAATTCGCATTTTGACAATTCGACCGAGTAGAGTTGTTGCGGAAAACACAACAGTTGTGCTGCTTAGAAGTCTTGATGTGGATTTAACAATTTTTCCATCCTTGAAAACGGTATTTACGCTCTGACAGCACTAACATTCGCCCTTTTAGCACACTCTTAATAGTCGTATCTTCGCAAATCTGATTTTTCTATTTTAGTGCTCAGTGTGAAATCGCCCTTAATGCACTCTGCATTTCTATTGGGTACTTCTTATGCGGTAAGCCTTAGAATGCTTAACTTCCTTTCCTCATCCTTTATCGTAGTGATCTTTTTTAATGGGTTGACGAGGTTTAATTTGCCGGGGAGTAGGGAGAGAAGTCTTGCTGAATGCTTGAATCCCACTTTGCTGTTCACAGTAATCTGCGTTTCTGCTTAGCCCAGAGGCTGTTGGTGGTGGCTCACGGCCCGAAGCTAGGCCATTCATGGCCAGACTGTGCACTAGCGTGCGCAGTCTTCGTTCCGAGTTGGCTGCTTTGAGGGTGCGTCAGCGCAACACTTCGCCTCCTCACCAAGTCCACACCCTTGGGCAATTCTGTCAAGTCACGTGATTGATTATTGTGCCTTTCTTTTTTTTCCTGTGTGCTTCTTGTGTTTAGTATTCTTCTTGAAGAATAATTTTAATCTCGCCCCACACAACGCAAATAGGTTAAGCTTTGAGTACTATTGAACCTAACTGGTTTACGAAGGGTAGGCTTCGCTGCTTTCTTGTGATTGTTGTTAGGTTGGTGTCTAAGCCGGGGGTGGAGTTTGCTGAGGCGACGTCAGCCTAGTTTCGGGTGTGCGTCATGCGTGAAGGTAGCGTCACATCAAATTCTGAATAAGAACCGGAATTTGGCCCTCTGTCGATCAACCGCAAGCAATTTTTAAGCAAAAAGGCTCATGTCATCCATTATTACATAGGTTTGGACATAATTTTGAACTAATTTTCAGCGTTGCTCCTGGATGACATTAATAGGTTTTTGAATAAGGCGCGCATCGCAAAATCATATTACTGACTTGAGCTGAATGAAGACCAGGCGTATTCTGCTAATCGATCTTTTACTATTTTCCATTCTGGGGTTAAAAGTCACTCGATATTTGAAGCGATGGAACCACCAATTGCCCGCGCAGAACCTCTTGTGGTCTTAGGCTAGTTACTGTACGTTAGATTTTTCTAAGACCCAATTCGACGCCCAAATTGATGTTTTTTTTAATGAGTGAATGAAGGATTTCCTGTAACCAACCCCACCCTTTGGACGCCTCAATTCGCGAACATACCACGCTGTTCGGTTAAAGGTTAGAATGCCGCCCATTCAACAACTTGAAAACAGTGTATCCGTTAGACTTGAAATGTGCTTTTTCGCTGTCCTAGTTAATAGGTGAATGTTTGTGCCTGTCGAAATTTATTAGTGGCAAAATGCCCCAGTTCCAAAATGTCGTGTGTTGAATTAAACCGGTGTTCCGCCAACCACTGCTCCTTTTCCCCATTAAAGCATCTTAAATGATATCCCAGTCTTGCGCAGTGCAGGTTTCGATTTTTGTGTCGGCAATAACATACATGGACAGACATGAATGTGCTATCAATGCTGTCGTTCTGTGTTCTGCAGTGGTACCAGCAATAGTAGCCCAACTTCGACTTCGCCACAGCGCCCAGCCGTCGTTCTGATACTTGTTTGCAAAGTACCCCGCGTACTGGTTGCCTTTTGACTGCTGTTCTTAGTCGGCGCAACGCATCTCTAATTTGGTGACTTGACTCATTCGAGTTGCCCATGTTGTTGCAAAATTCCATTTGAAGATCGTCATTGCATTTACTAGGATATCGATACTCGAATTTCTACATTTTTTAAGCACTTTGCAAGACCACTTTGGCATGCTGTGAAAGCCAAGGGAGCAAGGAAAACATCCGTGGTTTTTCGAGATTGTGTCTTGTTAGTTTATTTTGTTTTATTATCTAAGGCATTTGTCCGTAAAAAGGTGTGCTGAAATAAGTCAAAATATACCACTACCATCTGATCCCTAGTACGATAAACAATCGATCTAAAGTGCTCTTTTGTTTGGTAATCTGAATTACAGATATGCTTTCAATGCCGATCTACTACGACCGAAAAAACCAGATCATCTTCAGTATTCATCATTCTGTGGCAATGATGGCGTTCTACATAATTTTGGTGAGGTCTTAGTAGTCATGCAAGGACTCTCACTACTTTCTTATTCTTCTCCATCATCCCCAAATAACCCCTCAGTCCATCAACCCTCAAAGTATCCTCAATTTTGTGACTTTATTGCATTTGCGACAGTGAACGCAGTTGTATGTGTCGTCTCTATTATTAGGTTAGCAAGATGGGTCTATTCTTTGGTGTCTACCGCCTTACAACTGAGCTTTCTACTCCTTTCACGAATCAGCGGTAAGAATTTGCTAGACTTCGTCTACAACCCATGTATTTTAACTGCTGTTCACGCAAACACCTCACCCTTTCTATAGCAGTAGCATGATTTACCAGATGACGAGCCTACAGGGGCTGCAAAAGGGATGTGACAGGCCGTGGGATGATGGTGTGGATCACCACCAATCTTGACACATGAAATCTCGTCAGAAGGCCACCGACCATGTAACATGGGCACCATCAGCCGACATTTGTGGCAGGCAACTACAATGGGGTTGCCAGATCGAGTTGTCTGGGTCATCACTAAAACATTGGTTTTTTGTTATCCATGATAGAACAAAACTTGGTGTAATATGCGTTACCCAACATATCTCAGACCTATAAAACCTACAATGCCAATCGAACCAGTCTAAAATTCCCAGTGGTTTGAGGCTGTAAGACCTATTTGCATTTAATGGAGTGTCCTGTACACTAACGTCTTTCGCTCAATAGCCCGACTGAATAGGTTTTAAATGTGCTTTGTAGTAGGGAGCATTAATTATGTTAGAGCCAAACAACGAGCACCTTTGCCTAATGAAATGGGGGTGGTCAGCTACAGGCAGATCAACCAAATTGTGTTGTGCTTGAACCATCGTGACTGATTATAAATCGCAGAGCTTCACGAATTCAATGTCTGGTGGTAGTCTAAATCATTAGAGGTGAAATACGAAGTTTGATCGACTACTTACTCGGGTGTGGGTGGGAAAGTGAAGTGCATACGAAGGTCGATCAACTGAGACATGCGTGGGCGGCAATGGTACACACCATTAAACGCATTTCACTGCGGTATTTGCTATACCCCAGGAAGCACCATTAGTTGTCGTCGGTCTCTGACTGTAGCAGCTGTGAATACGGCAAGCGTGACGCCTACACTGATATAACACGCGAAATTCATTTGCTTAGAGACGTAAGAGTGTTCATGAAGTATGTGCGCATCTTTTGGAAGCTGTACATTTCGTAGACTTCTCTGAAGGTGCCAGCTCGCCATTTTTCTGAGCTCACAACCGCTCTAGAAAAAAATCGGCAATATTGCCGAAATATTGTCTCTACGTCTCCCATAATCGTAGTTGGATCCAGTTTTACGATTTCTTTGTTCTACATTGTATTTCCTTTCAGATGGTTTTACCGCACGGTTGGTTACACTCCGGATCGGCGACGTGTCGCGCTTGTTACCCTAGTCTTCTCCATACTCTTTGCAATCACACGCAACTTTATGGTTTTCCCCTACTGGCTCTTTGTTTATGTGATCTACGGCACGCCAAAACACGCTGCGGCCCGCGAGCAGCTGCCCTACATCGACGTACCATTGTTCGCCACTTCCCTCACTTTAGACGTCCTCAATATTTACTGGGCCTTGACGGTCTACCCGATCGGCTATAAGGCCGCGTACATGCTCTACAAGGCCGATTGGCGAAGCGATATCGATCGAGCTCGTGATCGCATACGCTGCCGCTTTCTCAGTGCACGACGGCGCGCCATGAACACCAAGTTGATTGCGTCACTTCAACGGAGTGCCTCGTTTAATCGCATCCACAAAGCGATCCTGTCGCCGTCTCGAATGTGGGAAGAGTGGTCGATATTCTCAGAGGGATTAAGTGAGCCTGAACTAGACGCCGAGTCGACGTCAGGGCAGACGACGCCACTGAGACGCTTCTCTGACGGAGATAGCGCTAGTGAAGAAGACTCTTCTGGTGGTGCTGTTTTCGAAGTACAACCAACTGCTAATACCGACGATAGTGATGTGGATGGGATGACATTAAATTTTCGAGGAAGGAGGAAAAACCCACCCACACCGATTGACTAGATGCATTTTTCTGCACATTAGCTTCTTTTGGCGTGATTCTAGGCTACTTCAGAATAATTCATACTGCATTATTTTGTTTACTGTATGTTTAGTCATTTCAGTTTTCAGAAAAAAAATTATGAATCACAGAATGGAGCAGTCCTATATCGCACGGTTCATCAAAGAATACACAAAAGAACTTAAGCGGGTTTATTAGCAGAGTGCAGTAGCAGAAATTATGAAAATACTTGTCGAAATAAAAAGACGACGCATAAGCCACGCAATTATTGCAGGCACACGAAACAGCCATAACCATGGACCTATTGACAAGAAGACGCGGATCCGGACTTGTGGTGCCGTCTCGGGTCAGCAGACTACAGACTGGCTCTTTTTTAGTCTTCTCAACTGGAACGGGACTTACCCCAATGTCTGGCCAAATGTGCAGGCAGACGAATTGACAGTTAGGGCCAGACGAGCTCCCGTGGACGTTGTTTATTAGCTAGCGGTGAGATCGCACATTTCGAAGGCG